CGGTCCACCATAGCCACCTCCACCACCAACCCAAGCAGCTGTGGCACAAACAACAAACAATTACATGAGTAACATGCTTCGATTTCAACAACAGCAGATTCAAATGATGCAACTCGCCATGCAAATGCGGCAATTCCAACCAATACTGCCATCTCCTTTCCAGCCACCACCACAAAATGGTTGCTGTCACAGATACTGCCACTGGTTGACGCATAGGAGAGGAAGACCACCTCATGATGCCACCTGTCAAACTCGATTAAATGGATACATGGCATAACAGCAATAAATATTTAGATGCGTCAAATTCATTTCTAATGTAGCCATTAACTTACAGTAAGGTTCCACAATGGACAGCATGGTGTGGTTGCAAGAATCCAAGGTTGAGCATGTCTTCCATGCAATCATCAACAAAAGTCTCACTCATCAAAGTCAATATCTTGAAGGAGATTCGGTTGTTGTAGTCATACCAGTGCGAACAATACCCATGCCAAGCATCCATCACCATCTGTCCTTCATTGGACGACAACTCATAGCTCTCACTGATCCTTTCCCTCACTAACCAATAGATGCACTCAATGAAGATGTCCTTCCTTTCACATGGTTCTGGCCCCTCCAGCATTTCAGAAAGGGTGGAGACAACTTTATCATACCATTTTGGACTTTTCTGAAGGCCCCAATAAAACATGTAATCCATGATGCCTGTCATGTCAGGAGGAAGAGGCTTGCATCCTCCTTGCATTATCATCTCCTCAAGAATGGGCACATCAAAGCTATTTGTGCGAACACAGCTGTACTTCTTCTCGTTGTTGTTGGTCCTGAGATCCACGACGTCGATCCTAGGATCCACCACCTCTTCTAAAATCACATACTGGCAGGTGAATCCATGCCTTGTGGCCTTCAACTCATTGAATGGGTAGTATGTATTGACACTTCGCAGCCACTTCGAGAAGACTGCTGAAGTAGTTGCGATCCTCATTGTCGCTTGTTGTTGTTATCGAAATGCACCAGGAAATAATCGTTGATCGATCGGAGAGAGGTCCGCCAAATTTCGAATTGTGGGAGGGTTTGCTTCGAGCGAAGGATGGGAAAAGAGCAAGTGTCCGTTGACTTCGTTTGAATTGCTGTGACATATTTGATGACATATACACTGTCTGAAGAACATACCTCAGAGGGGCGTCAGAGGGGCGATGACCTTTTTAATTAGGGCAAAGATTGAGTCGTTGCCATTTCCCCTCTCTTCCGTGTCCGTTTGTCGACAGATTGCAGTCCTGCCCGCTCTCCAAGTTGGAATCAGGAATCGAAAGGTTAACCCTCTCCCTTTTCTTTTTCTTTTCCCTCCCCCGCGCTGCTGCCTAACCCCCCCATAATCTCTGAAGTGCCCAGTGCCCAGCAACCGGCAGCAGCAAAATTCAACAGCCACAATGAAACAGAGGACGTCTCTTTTGTTTCTGTCATGGATATCCTATCACAGCCAACCCGCAGCTTCTTTCTGCCTCAAAGCAAACTCCAAATGGCTCGCCCGAATAGCCATCCGAGAGCCATCGTGTCGCCTGTACTCAGTCGACAATATCAAGCTGGATGATGGGCTCGTCTCTCAGGCCGAAATGGCATTCTCGATCCTGGCCAAGCGGAATCGAACTTGGAAAAGGCTACGGCACCTCGTCGATCTGGCCCAGCAAGTGAAAACGCAAGAATGCAAATCGTTGGTGGATGTGGGGACTGATCACGGCATTCTACCCATCGCACTGGCGGCTACGGCTCAGTTTGAAACGGTGACAGGCATTGATATCTCGGAACAAGTGCTCGACAATGGGGCCAGAGCAACCCACCAAGAAGTCCAGAATCATCTAAAATCGGAAAAGGGGCTCTCCTTGCCCTCGGTTGATTTTCGCTGTGGCAACGGATTGAGAGGTCTTGAGCAGGGAGATGCCGATATCGTGTGTATTGCTGGTATGGGAGTCAACACCATGCTGAAGATCTTAGGGGGGCCTGAGACTTCATATTTGGGCTCTCAGATCCTACTGCTTCAACCAACCAACTCCAAACCCAAAAACCTAATTCATCTGTATGATTCCCTTCAGAATGAGCAAGGATTTCTCCTGGTGGAAGAACGGATTGAAATACTGGCCTCTCGGTGGTACATTTCAGCAGCCTTTGCAAGAGGGAAACAAGGTGACTCATTGCAGTCTTGTCTGCTGCCTGGAACCAAGTTACAAACATGTTCGGACAACAGTCAAAAGGAAATGTTTGATCATTATGTTGACCATCATACATCTTGGTTGGCAAAGGATCAGAAGTACGGGAAACTAGAAGCATCAGAACAGAGATGGCTAAGGACGTTTGCAGCCTCCCATGACTAGCTAGCTTCCCATGACTAGCTAGCTAAAGTACGGGCGTACTTTTTAGGAGTTACTTCCCTCAGTGCTTGTGCCTCTCCATCAGTGTTACCGGTATTCCTGTCCAAAAGGCTCGCACAACTTGCAATGAAGCAATTGTAAAGATTTCGGATCTCGCTAGCCGACTTCTGCGTCTGCACATTATTCATTATTTACAATCTAGTCTATAGCGTCCACCGAGAATCTCTCTGTGTCAACAGCCATCGCACTCTTCTCTTATTCCATACCAAGACCACCAATGCAGTGACCACCATGGCAGAGTACCGTACCTCTTTGGAAAGTACCGAAACGTTGTCCATTACGGATGCGCTATCGGGAAAGTCTGATTCTGATTCGCTCGTGTCATCGTCGGTTGCCGCCGACGATGTTGATGATGCTGATGCTGCAACGACCTCTTGCAGAGTCTGCGGTTTCACTCCTAGCCGACTCAATTCCTCTCGAGTCGCTACAGCAATGTAATCCTCAGTCCTGGATGGGTGATACGCAAGCAAGTAACAAACAAGGAATCATTAGATGGATCCAACAGACTAGCATCCAAAACTACCATAATCATCATTGCTTACCAGTACGTCAATCGAATGTAGTCCCACATCATGGTTTTGTTGTACATTTTGGCCGTTTCGGACCCCCCTGCTTCCAACCAACAAGTAGGGCAATCCGTCACCTGTGGCCACATGACACTTTGTTGTGCCGCCGACGTGAACAACGGTGCGGTGATCCGTTCCAATGCCAGTCGTAAATTGACGCCATTGTGCGTTTCCAACAACCACAATGCCAGTTCTTTCCAATCGTCCAGTTGTTGTTGTTCAGCTTGTTCGCCAGAGTTCTTTTTCAAACGAGTACATCGGTCGTAGGAGCAGGCATCGTATTCTTGGGTAAAGTGTTGTGTGCATTCATCGCACAACAAAAAATGTTGGACGAAATCCCGTAGCAACTGGGAGACATCTTGTACGTCAAAGCGTCCCGTTGGATCGGCGGCGGCCGTATTGAACTCGACAACCCCGACTGTCATGATGTGAAACAGAGTCCAGAGACCACACGTGTAGGGTGATTCGTGGAGTTGACAGGCAATGCTGTATTCGGCGTTTTCGGGTGGTGGATACTGGTCCAACACTTGCATAAACGCTTGTTCGGAAAACTTTTGACGGGATTGGCCCAAGAGTCCTTCGAGGAGGTTATGGATCCTCCAAGGAGGCAGTACTTGATGCATGAGTTTGATCCATCGGCCCAAGACTTTTTTCTTGTTGGGGGATATTTTACCCCCGGCTTCCATGAATACTGCCGTTTTCATGGCCGTGTGAAAGGACATGTAGGCATCGGTGAATAATTCTGTGGGTTGTCGCGGCAAAAACGGAGGCTTTTGGTTGTTACTACTGCTGACAGTGATGAGAGTCTCACTGCTGCTGACAGATTCTTGTTTGACGGGTTCTTTATCGGTTGCCTGTGTGGATTGTTTTTCCTGTGGTTCTGTTTTGGTTGTGGATGTATCCGAAGTCGTCGGACTGGCCTGATCAACGGCTGTCACTCCCAGCGCCTTGTGTAGATTCACAACATTCAATTGATAGGGATTCATCTTGATGCCGGTTCGAGAGGTGCCCTTTGGGAATATCTTGAGACTTGGATATCCTTTGATTCCCTGATCTCGGCAAATGTCCTTGTGGGCCGTGCAACTGACGGCATAGAAATCGACCTGGACTCCAGCGGTCATTCGATTTTTGCGTGCAAATTCAATGTAATTGGGAGCAAACTTGACGCAATGAGGACACAGCGGCGAGTAGAATTCCACTACTCGATGATGGGGAAATTTCTCTTGATACAGGAAATCCGGTTCCATGGCTTCCTCATCATTGGGATCAATGTACAAGTCAATCACTGAAGGGTTGTCACCACCACCGGCATTCTTGTACAAGTAGTGACTCTTGGCCTTTGCGGCCATGCAAGTGGAAGAGCCCAACAGGACGGACAGGACAAACACTATTATTCGATGCCATCTTATTGTCATGGTTTGCTGTCTTGTGTCTTTTTGGCCTGGATGATTGAATGGGTGTTCAGAAAAGTCTTCTTGCTTTTGCAGCTGCTTTTTGGCCACTTTACCTCGGCAGGTTAACTGCCTGAGTCCTCTACCCCTTTAATGGCAAATATTCTGTCTGTGGGATCCCCCTGGTTTTTGTCTGTGGGATCCCCTCGTTTTGTGTCTGTGGGATCCCCCATTTCGGTGAAGCCAGGGTATAAGGATATAGATAATGTATGCTGGCAAAACTGGAAATTGAAGGTTCAATAAAAGTTAGGGGTAGGAATATATCAATGTAATTTAAGGTTAGTGCACTCAGGACAAAAACACAATAAGCCAGCAGGTGTTGTAATTTTAGAGTTACACGATCGAATAATAGCTGTAAATTATGGGTTAGCCCGTGGCTACGCCAATGCTAGCTTAATATAAAACAGAAGGTTACAATGAGGGAATGATAGTGGGCGGCAACAGACGACGAAGTCGGGTGTTGTCGCCAGGGCTAGCTTACATAAAAAAGAAGGTTATAATGAGGGAATGCTACCGGGCGGCAACACACGACGAAGTCGGGTGTTGTCGCCAGGGCTACCTTGAAAGAAGAATGCAATCTCAAACACGATCCTCTTGCTTCTATTTGTCTTTCTGCAGAGGTATCGCAGCTCCCGCTGACTTAAATGCTATTTCCTATTTCCTATTTTCTATTTCCTATTTCCTATTCCGGTGAAGCCAAAGTATAAGGATAGAGATAGTCATAAGCCAACAAAACTGAACATTGATGGTTCAATACAAGTTAGGGGTAGGAATAAATCATTAATATTTAAGGTTAGTGCAATCAGCACAACAGCACAAAAAGCCAGCAGGAGTTGTAAAGGTTAGAGTTACAACAAGGGAATGGCAGCTGGTAAATTATAGAGTAGCGGGCGGCAACACACGACGTAGTCGGGTGTTGTCGCCAGGGCTAGCTTAATAAAAAGAAGGTTGCAATGAGGGAATGAATCATGCCGGGCGGCAACACACGACGTAGTCGGGTGTTGTCGCCAGGGCTGGCTTGAAAGATGGGTGCAATCTCAAACATAATCCTCCTTCTTCTATCTGTCTTTCTGCCGAGGTATCGCAGCTTCCGCTGACTTATTTGGGAGAAACGCCAAAAATTCGCCTTTTTTCGCGCAATTTGTGATTGTCACTCTAACTCTATTGTGGTAATAACCTTCTATGGTCACAGGTCACAGAGCCTTTATGACGTTGAAGAGTTGAAGAGAACTTTTGACCCAATCTCACTCTGTTGGCAGGTTATGGACAGCGTGTTATACAGCCGACACCCACATGGCCCAGAGTAAATGATAGAGCTTTTTATTGTCAGCTGTAGCCTCTTGTCAATTCTAGTCTAGCTAGCTAGATGCTTTGCTGTTGTTGGAATGGACCGCCGCGCCAGTAGACGACACCCCGCTCGTGCCCGTAGTGGAGGAGCTCGAAGATCGATTAGTCAACGACAGCAGCAACCCGCTTTTGCGGACGACCAAGATGACGATGATCACGACGACGGCGAAGTGGTGCGAGGAGGCGGCAGTGCTGCTGCTGTGCCTGCCTATGCCCAAGATGACTATGATTCCGAAGGAGACGACAACAATAACAACGAAGAAGACGACGAGGAAGACGATGACGACGAGGAATATAATCAACGTGGGAGACGATTGACGGCTGGAGGCGATTTGCGCTATTCCACTGGTTCCTACTTGCCCACTGCCTATGGCGCTCCCGGTGGACCGGAAGCCGCCTTGGCGTTGGGAGTACAACCATCTCAACGAGAACGATCGGTAGACCGAATTCGCGCCCGATCCAGAGATCGACGAAGAGATATTTCCAAAGATCGCCACAGTCAACGAGATCGATCGCGCAGTTCATCGCAGAGTCGCAACAGCAACACTGGCGGCGGAAATAATAAAGCCAACGATCGAGCGGCGCAACGGAGACGCGATCGCCGCGCTTCCCTGGAAATGTCGCTGGGAACGATGAGTATGGATGACAGTGCCTCGAGTTTTGATCAAGCGTCAGTCTATTCGACATCCAATGAATCTTCGTTTTCACTCATCAACGGAATGGACAGCAGTTTCTCACAAAGTCTATCAGCAGATGTCGGCAGTAATACGGATCCCAAACGACGGGCGCGAAAAGGAGGGCGACCCGGGAATCTCGCGTCCAGTTCGAGAGATTCCACTTCCACTGATTATACCAGCGACCGACGACGACATGTCTACAAATCTGGCAAAGCATCCAAGACGTGGGATGGAAGATTGGATCATGTTTTAAATTTGAGGAGAGGTGGACGTCCTACCGGTGGTGGAGATGCAGGAGGAGGAGCAGCTCAAGCACGGTCCTTGTCTCCCGGTGCCACTGGTGGAAAGGAAAAACGAGGTGGAAAGCGATCTGGTGCCTCTGCGAGGTAAAAACAGATCGCTTGCTTCATTCAAACTACTATACAATTGCTGGATTCGTTCCTATTTGATTCGATTCCATTCAAAATATGTGGAGCGTAAACCTATGGCCGGAACTGAATGATGGACCTATTTTTTGGACATGATAGATTTGTTCTTCTTCGGAGAACAATGTAACGTACTGTTTTTCCTGTATTATTTCCACGTGTGTGGTGTACTCAAGTGTAATTTAGGAAAGCTTGATCCTGCTTGGATGGCAACTTGCCAATCATTATCATCATGCATTGAATACAAATGGTGCATTTACCAAAGAAAAGGCATTCATTCATCCCCTCAATTTCCAATAGGCGACGGCACCACTCTAGCTAGAGCAAGCAACTGGAACGCGCCTCTGGGGCAAATTCAGGGCTCCTCCAAAGGCCATGGACCGAGCCAGCACCGTACTTCAACCAATGATTTCAACGAAAATCAATAGCCCTTGCTCCAGGACAAACAGTGGACGCCGCCGCCAAACCAAGTGCACCAGGGCCAACTCTTGTGTGAGGGACAGAGGATACTTGATCCAACTCCTATTCCTTCGTACATCACAAAAGAAAAACGCCTGGCTCATTGCCACACTCGTAAAAAGTTGATCCATCCATCCCACAATCGTGCCCCCAAACAATCTTGTGCACCGGCGTGTGCTGCCCCATCATCCACATCGAAGGAGGCAATCATATGCTGCTGTGGGTAGCCCATCATTCTGGCTTGATACTTCTTTGTCGTGTCGTATCAAGCTGTTTCGCTTTCAACCCATAGCTTTTCCAGACACCTAGCTCCGGAAATCGAGAAGAGAATATATAAAATACATGCATCTTATCTTATGTCTACCTCGATCCTATTCGTGTTTTTTCCAATGCCAAGTGATGCCGGATGGTACTCTCTCCCAAGCGCCCCATTGCTGCGCTGCTAACTCCATTTTCAATGCTCGGCCAGCCTAGCTTTCTGCGGGTGGTTCGACCCAGAAGGCTGTAGTGGCACCCAAACCCGGAATGAAGATACGTGCTTTGATTGGCACTGAGATCTCTGGAGCCTGCTTCTCCAAAACAATCTCTTCGCTCTCTGTGCAGAGGATCTTTCCAGGAGCAGACTTTTGTTCTGCAAGGAAGGTCGCACGCTGGACAGTGTAGCCGACAAGTGCATGTCGTTGGTTGCTCCCTCTGCCGACAACTTGACCTTGCACCGCTCCAGACATCATCGCAGTTTGAAGAATGACATGACCACGTTGTGCGTCATCTTCATCAATGAGAATGGTCTTGGCAACCTGAACAGCGTCGAGTGCAAACCGCGCGGCGCGTAGTGTGTGGTCCTCTTGCTGTTGCTCGACGTAGTTGGTGGCTCCCATCCAACCCCCATTGTCATTCACTGATACCTTGTAAACCTTGTGCTTGTCAGCAAGAATGTCAAGTTGACTGTCAAGACGTTGCAACAGGTTTGCGACCTTGAAGGAAGGCAGCTCAGCAGTGAGGGCATTGAAGCCCACGATCACAGAGTAGAAAACGGTGGCATCGTCAACGTGTTCCGGCAAGTGCGAGAACTCACTCATGTCGACACCTTCATCGCTCCATTGTTCTTGGCCAGAAGGCGCTACGGATGGCTTGTCTTCTTGGGTCATCTCTTGGTTGGAGGCTTTTCGATCATTTGCTGCTTCATCGCTCCAATCGTCTTCACAATCGGGCACAGCATCCGGCTTCAATTGTTGATCCGAATCGCTGATGTCTTGTTCCTTGGTGTCCTTGGTCATTTCATCACTCCATGCGCTCAATGAAGTGCCTTTACGATCAAGCCCTTTACTCTTGGAGGCAGGATTGTCACGCTCCACGTCAGCAGCCATGATTTTCTCGAGGAGATCCTCCTCTCCGCCCCAGACATCATCTTCTTCCCACATCTTGTCCCCCTTGGTCGACTGACCGAGACCGAAAATGCGCTTGGGGGTGGGCGGAGGTTCGTCAAAGTCGGATTCAATGTCGCCGGTACTAGTGAACTTGCTGTCACTCGCGACGCTTCCCTCGCGTCCGTCTCGGTGGCGTCGTCTGCGTCGCTTCTTCTCTTCTTCTGGGGAAGTGTCTGAATCAGGCAAACAAAACAAAAAGTTCCAGAACACTTTCTTGACATCAGGTTTACTCAGGGCCACACAGACGGAGAGAAATCCCTGGACAGAACCGAGATAGTAGGAGAAGTAGACCATCCAACGGTTGTGGGTGATGTTCCAGGCGATCTCGTAAATGACAAAGTAAGGAACCCATGTCACGAGGAAGATGATAATGACGCGGAGGAAGTAGAGCGCCAGGACACGGGTGCGGCCCGAGATGGGAAGACGTTCGTTCCACCAAACGTCGAAGCAAACATAGATCACATAGAGGATGGGAGGACCGACAAGGAGGCATCGGGTAGTGATCCATACGTTCATGATCTCTCCCAAGGAGAAGGTATTGAGTCCATGAATGTACAAGAAGAAGGCCCATCCAAACACGAGGAGGCCGAAGAAGTAGACAACGGCGGTTTCCTTGCAGACCCTACCCACACTTGGCGGTGGGATCTGTTTCTTCCTGTCCTTGCTGGACTGTCGTAGGATGTTGTGAATGCAGTAGATGATGCAAGCGTTGAGGTAGATGTTTGCAATGGCGTAAAAGTACTCGAAGCTGGCAGCAAAGATGAAAATGTTGGGTCCAACAGCAGCACCCGAGATGGAAAGGGCATTCCGGAGGATGACGACAAGGTTTGCCAGGGCGTCGGGGATGGCCAAGAAGATGAGGTACAAGTTGTACCCGTTGCTTCTGGCTTCCTTATTTCGGCCGAGAGCGACGACGAATAGGGAACACACGAGGACGGAGATGCAGGAGAGTGTGACCCAAATGATCCGAGCAAGGAGGAGCTCGTCCATGAATTCGTCGCCTGTCTGAGGACTGTTGCAGCACACAAACTGCACATAGATAAGACTTTGCAATCCAGTGTATCGGGGGAATCGGTAGTTCGAGTCTCCACACGCCAACGGCTCTTGGAACCCATCCGCCCAACAATTGCCTAAGAGATCATCAGCCAGGGTTGCAAGACGAGATCAAGATGGTGAGCTTGCGTACCGTACGGCAAGGTTGGCCCTGATCACGATGCTTGTCTTTTACTTACCCCCCCCTGCCCAATCAGGACTTCCACAAGTGTCAACGCAGGTCTGGGCAACCTGTTTGGAGATACTTTCATAGCCACTGTAGGGCGGGCAACATGTGAACCAGCTCCTCATCTCCCCGTCCACGTCCTGCGGAGCAACGCCAGGAACTAGTCGGCCAATGTATCCATCGGAACAGTATCCAGATGCAGGGTCCATCAGACTAGCCTCAAATCCTTCCATCGCCTTGACAACTTCTGTTGTGTTGGCGTCTGGTGAGAACTCAGGAGTCTTTACCCAGCAAGTGAACTCTGTGTCATCGTCGACCCAGGGATGGATCCTAGAACCTCGGCAACGAGACTCATCGCACGTATACTCTGCACTGGCAACCTTGAACCCCAGCCAAGGTGTCTGAAGCAACAGGACAACCCACAGGCAGACACTGCGGGGTGGTGAGATGTTGGAGTAACGCATGGGTATTCTCAATCTAGCAGTAGCTATTAGTAGTCAGCGGTTTTTTTTCAGCTTTCGTTTGTAAAAAAATTGTGAGAAAGGTTGCAAGTTGCAAGCAACCTGGTTTCATCGATCGTCGGGGTTTCCAATTGCGAGTAGATCTTGAAACTGTATGGTACCTACGTACCAGCAGCATCATACATACATGTAGCAGCGGAAGTGTGGTGAGTGGTTCGCCTGTCGCTTGTGTGCAGGATTTGAGACCTAAGACCTAAGATTCACCCTGAAGCTGGTGCCGCCTTGGTGTTCCTACTAGCTAGCTAGCTAGCTAGAAAAGATACAAAACGAGCACCTCAAGGGCACCACCAGAACTGAGCGAGCTACTGACGCAGAATGGTCCTGGCTTACAGGTCGACTGTGAAATTTAGTAAAAAAGATAATATTTCTTAGCATAATGACCAGAATTGATTCTGATGACCCATGATTGCGAATGAATACTTAACATCAAAGTTTCCTCATCGTCACCATGGTCATAATTCCTGTTGTATCGCTGGGGCTCTTGCTGTGATGTCGAGCCTATTAGCTACGACTGTACCTTTTCCCCCTTTCTTCAACCACTGAATCCAGTTACGATCGTTGAGAAGATAGATTTAACTAGAGACGAGTACGAGTAGATTTAAACTGGCACCCGGATTCAAAGGAAAGGGAGACTATGCAGAAGTCGAAGAAAGCAGGTGACGGTTCATTATCAACTAAATTCTCATTCCAATAAGAATGGTTGCCAAACACAGCTCCAAACTCCAAACACCCAACTCACGTGGCCATTGGCCCAAACTTAAATGTACTGGCACACTGAGAAAAAGGTACCTGGTACAGTACTAAACGGAAGAAGTTGCGGGAATACCCGTTTCAGGTTACAAAGTGTTTCTTTTGGAAGAATGGTCTGAAACAGAAGAATGACTGAATGTGGAAGAATGACACAATCTGGAAAAATGAGTGACGACGCTACGCCAAAACGCGTATAAATTTGTACTAGACTAGGTGACTTAAAAATCTGGAAGAAAGCTGGAATATGGACTCAAAGTGGAATATCACTCAAATCAGCAGTTGACCCAAAGGATGTGCTCGGAAATCCCATTACCCGCAACTCCGAAGAAAGCAGGTGACGGTTCATTATAGACTTCTCATTCCAAACAGAATGGTTGCCAAACGCCAAACTCGCGTGGCCAAACTCATGATTTAACTAGGCCAAGCTCTTGGCCATGCCAAGTGCCAAGCTCTCAGCTGCCAAAAGTCAAAGGCAACACCGCATCGAAGCAAGGCCAACGTCAACTACAGCCCCGTCCGTACTCCTCACTTCTTGTCTTCCGATTTTTAGAAGTACTACACTGTTACTGTACTCTATTAGCCCCAGCAAAGCCCAACCGCCCGAAGCGTGAACCTGACAAAAGCGTCGTAGATAGAAACTGGGAGCAGGGAGCTAAACAGGGACACATGCTACCGGTACCGGTACCAGCTTACTGGACTACATACATACATACATACATACATTGTCATGTACATGTACATGTATGTATGTACTGACCAGCAGTCCTCAGGAGCATTCCTAACCAGCCATTTTGAGCCATTTATTCGTCCGTGCGTACGCGAAATCAAGTTAACTGTAAAAATCGGCTCGCTTTCCCTCTTTTTGCCCATTAATTTCGGTACGCCGTATCAGTAATTTTGCATTCTCAATTCGCCGTACCGAAATTATGAGGGAAAAAGAATTCGCGTAGGACCAATCAAAACGTTAGAGCAGGCCGAACTCAGTCACGGCCACAAATCCCCAACTCTAATGAACTAGTTTGACCACGTTCAGTTCGGTTCGGTGGTTGATGGAATGAAAGCGAGTATTCGATCGAAGCTACAGTACGGTACCATAGCTACCAACAAACCGATCTCGACAACCAAGAAGGTTAACAAGCCAAGCCATTAACCGAGTGTAACCTACATGCTAATAACTTTGCTAGCCTTCTTGGTTGTGAAGATTGGTCTGTTGGTAGCTAGCTAGCTAGCTAATGGCTAATAGCTAGCTAGATCCGATCATTCGATCGAATGATCGAATCGAACAGAGCATACGTACTCAATCGATTCGTTAGAGTTGGGGATTTGCGTTGATTTTTCGCGTACCGCGTATGTGTGACACATGGATAGGAATGAAATCTTGATACGTAGGCCTAAATAAATCGATGAAAATAAATGTGTTTCGCGTATGCACGGAGGACACACATGGAGTTTGGTTAGGAACGCACCTCAGGCTTCCTTGAAATCTTTCCATTTCTCCAGGCTCCAGACAGCTGCTGGCTGCTGGAGCACTGCTGGTCACTATAAGGGGTTCACGACTGCATAGAGTACACTACTGTGATGTACAATCCAAAAACTCAATAATAAACTAGCTAGACTAACTCACTAGACTACTATGAGCTCTACTATGATAGTAGCTAGCTATCATAGTACCAGTACTAGTACAGGAGTAGCAGTTGTACCATACATTGACAAACTGGCACAAAATTTAATGCACCTACTAATAACTCACCAACAAGCAACAAGCTACCACCTGGACCGTACCGTCCGACGGTTTAAACTCAGGATTTAAAAAAGCTTGAAATTGCCACGACTGAGTACCGTTTAAAACATCCCCTTAAACATCCTCTTAACAACCCCCTAAATCTTCAACATCCCCTTTTAAACAAAACCTTAAAAAACAACCCCTTAACAACATACCCTTATATCCTCGAAACAACCCCTTAAGCCTTCATTGAAACGCCATACAACATCCCTTTATCACACACAAACATCCCCTTAAATGAACAACCCCTTAACAACAACCCCTTAAATACTCAACATCCCCTTAAATATCCCCTTAAATCTGTACCTCCCCTTAACATCCCCTTATCGAGAACCAGGACATTAGTCAGTCGTGGCCGTTTTTAAAGCCTGAGCGAAAACCGTGGAACGATCCTGGTGCCACCGTGCCACCGGCTGAGAGCCCATACTGGTACTGTACATCTTCTGCCTCACATATAAGATAACTCTATTCTGAGCCCTGTATGAAGTATTTTTTTAAAAAAGGATCCACCAAGAGCCACACTGAGTCATTATCTTACAAGCAGCCAAATCTCAGTACCTTTCATATCTTATGGCCACTAGCTAGCAGCTATCGTCACATACCCTACTACTCACCATGCCATCAGACAGTGAGGAGCCACCACCAAAGCCTAAGAAGGCAAATGTTCAAAGCCAAAATTGATGAAACCACATGTTGTTGTTGTAGAGGAGGCACCCAAGCTGGGAATGGAGGACTTGGATGTACCAGTAGACGGTGATGTGGAAGATGGTGGGTACTAGCTGCCCTCACTCCCCACATAGCAGTAGTATTGTAGTATGAGCTTAGGATTTGAGACGTTGGTACTCGTAGCTTATCTTCCTGGTTTGGGAAATCTGAGTGTCTAGAGATTATCTTTTAAAAGTACTCCGTACTTAAACCCACGTATCTTAAATGTGAGTGAAATGTGAGTGAAGAGTGTAGCAACGTAACATCCACATTCACTGGTAAAAAGGTGACTGTCTTTGTCTTTGTCTTTTTACGAAGGTGAATGGTGACATTGGTCTCTGATGGGACCGAAACTTGGGACGAATTTCCCCCCCAAAATTTAATCCCAAACCCCAAACCATCTTGGTTTTCTGACGATGCTTACATTTATTTAAGATTACTGGTTCTCCAGTATTCTGGAGTAATCATCACTAAGTAAATAGTACAGAGTATGACTCTGAAACGGAAGGTGGTATTGTACTGCCTTCAACAATGTTCAAGAGGAAGAGGGAAGAAAGAAGAAAGGTGACTATGCTAATTTTACGTTCCGTGCTACACGCAGCTAGCTAGTAGCTAGCTAGCTAGTACTAGTACTGTACCACCGGTGACAGGGGGTAGGGAGCACTACATACAGCCTGTGCATATGAACAGGGAGGATGCCCGCAGATTGAGAGCAAGGCCAGCCATTTTTTTTTGCCTGAATTCAAAAACGTCCAATTTCCTGTGCAATCGAACAGGATAGCGACGCCTGTTCAATTGCACAGGAAATGGACGGCCTGTGCAATCGAACAGGATGGCGACGCCTGTTCAATTGCACAGGAGCTCGATGTCCTGTTCAAATGCACAGGAATTGTGACATTTTTTTTTCTGGGTAGGCTTTCTCATTACTCAACAGTATAGATCTGACATTACATTCAGCATTACAGTCAAGCATGTCCTCTGCGTTCAGTCAAGCTGATGATCAACTCTCCTCTGCTATCTCGCAGGCTGAGGTATGGACGTCTCCACCCGTAATCATTCAAGTAGCTGGATCTCTCAAAGACGATGGAGACAGAAAGGAAATCAATCTTATTCCAACACTCGGTCACAATACTCGCAACCGATCGGAGCCCAACACTGCTATTGTGCACTGGCTCCCAAAGGAATTCTCTACCAATACTGCTGAGTTTCGCACTAAAACGCTTGCACCGTATTTTGTCAACGCTTGTCGTGCTTCTGGCTTTGTTGTACGACTTAGGGGTTTCGGAAAATCAAAAGATATTGCTGCCTTCATTTGCCAACGCGGACGATATCACGAATCCGCAATTAGAGAATCAAGTCAGGGTCAGCGTGTACCTACCACCCAGCTGCCTATTAAGAATGTTAATGTTCGCTGTCCATTCAAATTCAATGTATATTGGAGTGAAAGCAATAAACGATGGTTCCTGCCCCGTCAACAATCAGGAAATTCTCAACACAGTGGTCACATGCATCGTTCACCAGAAATTATCTCTACGTTGACCAAAAACCTTCCAGAAATTAAGCGACAAATTAGGCAGAATGTCATGGAGCAGCATGCTACATGTGCTATCACACAGAATATCATTCGGAAGAGAACTGGAATTACAGTCAGCCATGATCAAATGAAGTATCTCAGAAAGCAACAAAAAGCACTAGCTCAGTCTGCAATGATTACATCCTTGGAAACCAAAAGTGGCTGCTCAATTGACCAGGAACAGATCCGAACACCAGCAGACAGAATAATTCTTGCACTTCACAACGACCCGACAAAATCTTACATCTCACTTTTTGGTGAGGTCAACTCCAACCTGATAACCATCAAGCAAACAAGGAAAACCCCCACAGCCCATGCCATCTCCGAAATGGATGCATATGCTTTATGTGATGACACTGGTGATGGTGCGATAAATCACAGCAGAAAGATTCGAGATAGTCTTACTATCACCGGGACAGGTTACATTCTATTAGCGGTGCTTTGGATGGACGACAAATCGTCTAATCGCTTAGCATGTTTCCGGAAGTCACTACAGCAGATGTGGTTGAAAAAATACCAGAACCTCCATTCTTTGGTAGCACAGAGGCGTATGGGCGATCCTGCGCAGCTTCAGTGAGGCATCTATGAAAGTAGATTGCAATAACCTCGATTTTTGGACATATGGTATCATCACTAGAGGGTGGATCATGCATGAATTTGTATTGGATGATGGGCTGCATATAAATTTCTCCCAGAGGGATGTCCTTATCCAACTTGTAACAGGAGTTACAGAATCCATATGTTGATTCACCCGATACAAAATTGCGTTGAGTGCATGTGAACTTTTGAAAGGCAGAATGCAGAGGATTGGTAGCATCCAAAGATTTCTTCAGTTCTGACACTGGTCTGTGGCTCTTGCAGTGGATAGGATTCATCCCCAACCCTCTGCACACACGAAACATTTCATCTTCAAGACACTTCTGCAATACACGGCTCTTAGCCTTATTCGCGACTCGATCCTAGATAGGGTTTAATTTTCGATTCACGACTGAGTCTCTCGTGAATAGTCATTTGAGACAGGGTTCTCAATGACCGCTCTGGTCATACTAGGTTGATGATGAAACATCGCTCTAGATATTTAGCCAGCGTGGAGTACTTCAACGCTACTAGATCCATGCTAGACAAACCTTCCACGCGTTCCGTTTTAAGATCGTGGAGATACGTAGGATCGCTACCGCAACCTACTCTATCACACTTTACAGTCTCCCGCGGGAGGCCAGATCTACGATCCCTTGATGATGATCTCTCTCGTTGATTAGTTTTCATAGCTTTCTAATCTCTCTCATAACTTTCATTCTCTCAAACTCAAAACACTCGAAAGATCTTTACACTAGCTTTTAGCGTAGTGCACTTCCATTCGGATTTGCAAGCAGTGTTGATATTCTTTTTCAAGCTGGTTTTGTTCTCTGAATCTTCATAACTTGTAGGCTCGCCAAGAATCTCACAGTTTCCATCAAATACAGCAGTGGCCAGAATTTCTGGCAAGAGTCTACTGCTTCCATCCAAATTCTCGTAGTCTGAATGAATATCCTGCTTTGTTGGGAGATACTCCACATTAAATTGACTCGGTGTAGTCATTGTTGAATGAAAACTCGGCAAAAATCCTGTTTCTTTGCACAGGCGACAGTTGCCTGTTCGTTTGCACAGGCGACAGTTGCCTGTTCGTTTGCACAGGAAACTTCCTGTTCGTTTGCACAGGCGACAGGTGCCTGTTCGTTTGCACAGGCGACGGGTGCCTGTTCAGTAGTACAGGAAATGAAAGTAAATCTCCTCTCTTGACCAGATGGAGGTATTCTGTTTCAGACTGTAGAAGTGGCTGCCTTAGATGCTCAAGTGAAAGAATAGATGGTTGCAACTTCCTGTGTTTTCCTCTTCTCAGATAATGAAAAAGAAATCAGGAGAAATGAAGTCCAAATCTCTCAGTGACAAACCCAAAAGCCACAAGCCACAAATGACTGCAAGAGACAGATATGATAGTGGTAGAAGTAGTGGTAGCAGTAGTGGAAGGATCAGTTGTTCTTGTTCTTATGCTTATGCTTGTCCTTCCTTGCTGCTGTTGCTGTTGCTGTTACTGTTACTGTTGTTGTTGCTGAAAATGAAGAAGACTCCAACCAGCATGCACGTCAGATTTCCTTTTTGCACAGGAAGCACGTCGGATTGCCTGTGCAATTGCACAGTCGCCTGTTCAATTGCACAGGAATCGCGTCGCCTGTTCAATTGCACAGGAATCGCGTCGCCTGTTCATTTGCACAGGAATCGCGTCGCCTGCCAGGCCAAAATTTGACTGCAGGCTGGCTCTCTAAAAATCCTGTTCATATGCACAGGCTGTATGTAGTGCTCTCTACCCCCTGTCACATCGTATCAAAAATTAATTACGAAATTGTATAATGAATTTTAAATTACACATCGGCTACATGTATGCATATTATGTACATGTGAAATGTGTGAAGAAGCAATTCTCCGGAAACGTCTTGCGATAAATGATTGCTGAACAGTACAGTTTGCGTGGTGGAGGGCGGAGGAAACAACCGCCTACTTTAGTGCAGCTGCTAGCCAGCTCTAGTAGGAATGAGCAAGTGGAGGCTGGCAACCACGGAGGGGAACTTTTGTCTCCCAGCAACTCAACTAGAATGGCCACTCATCATCTGGCAACAGCATATGCTCGACAAGTCTTTGCTCGATGGACAAGGATGTGTTTGAAGTGTGAACTGCGAGGGCAATCTTCAGTAGGAAAAATCACGGCAACCACCTTTTGTATCCTAGCATCTTGGCACTGATTTGACGATAACGCTCTATGGAGCGATGCTATGAAAGACACTATCGGTAGGTCGAAATCTTTGCAGCCAGTCATCCAAAAAGAACGAGCATTCCTCTGTTGCTCCAGCTAGCTAGCTTGGGCTCTTCCAAAGACATTCAGGCACTGCGGCAACCACCGTTTTCGGAAAGCGACCATCAGAGCTCCATCAGCCTGCACGGAACCTCTCCCGCGAGTGAGTCAGTCGAGTGACGACCTCTTTCTTGCGCGTCATCCAAACACGCTCAAATCCATGAAGCCAGCAGATCAACATGCACCACCATAACGGTAATACTGTATTGTTTTGAAGTGGTACAACCGCTGCATGAAAATTCATTCCCCGGGCAGTAACTATTCCTATCTGCAGAGTTTGCTACCTAGGAAGCAATATTTTGGACATCCCCGCTTATTTCATTAAAAGAAATCTGTTTGTGTCTCCATGGTTCCTCGAATTTACTCCTTGCTACTGCTGGGAGGATGTTGAAGCGCAGCCACTTTTCACAGTACGGTGCAAAGTTTGGAGCGAAGCCAACTTGCTGGACGTTTTCGACCCGATCACCAGACATCTGTTCTTTTCTCCATGGCGTGATTGCGCATTAGTGGAGGATCTACCTTTCTAGCTAAAGAAAGACCACAATGCAGCTGAGTGCCCCCAGCCAGAAGCCGGTATCGGTAGTACTATTGGGAGGATGGGCTTATCGCTTGAGAAGGACAACTCCATGCCAAACTCTCTCCAGACTTCAGGCCTCTAGAGGCAACGAAGTGAGAAAAAGACAAGACGACCAGTGCGGTTTCGTCTATCCCGGCCACATTTACGTTACAAGAAATTTGGCGTTTTTCAGGAAATTTGCCAATTTTGTGGTGCTGATAGTTGTGCTGATCGAGCTGGTCTTGACCGATCTGACAAGAATGGCCTCAGAAAGCATAATTCGGCAACAAAAATGTCCAAACAGAAGCTCACATTTTCCAGACGTCCTGATCGAAGTGCTAAAACTTTCAGGGACCAACATGGTTTCATTTCAGCAAGATCTAACAACAACAAGCGGCTAGACTCTCAACATGGCGCTCACGTCGTTCTTCAAACGTAATAGATCTATGGATCGACTGGTTACATGCATGCTGGTCCTGTTGGCAGCCTCAATACCGGTGTCGGGCCAGAACTCCACCACCACAAACATTACGTCCACGGCAGGTCCAAATGCTACAGTTGCACCCAACAGCACCATGGCCCCTACAGCATCGGCAACCACTGGGAATGCAACCCAAAGCAATCAAACAGCTGCTCCAACTATGCCTGGTAGCATGCCCGGTACAACAGGGCCGCCAACGATGCCTGGAAACGTGAACGAAACAATAGCTCCAACGATGCCTGGTTCAATGGCTGGCTCGATGGCTGGCTCCATGGCTGGATCGATGCGAGGAACGATGGCAACGACAATGATGCCTTCGGCAAATGACACTGGAGTGACTACAATTGTGGAGGCCATTGTGGAGGCCCCAATGAATGCGACCACTGGCATGGATCATGCTGACGAAGGAACACACAACATGACAGGCATGAATGGAAATCATTCTAACATCTTTGGCCACGACAATGAGATGGATGGACTTATTGAGGATGACAGTGGAGAAACTCAAGCTCCTGGGAACCAGACTTCCTCCAACAGCACAGGTCCACCACCCAGCGAGATGTCTGCTGGTGTTACAATTCAAATACATGTCATGTGGGCTACGGCTATTGTGATGTCAAGTTGCTTCATTGTGTAGTGCATTCTGTCACAGTCGGAACTCTTTTCGTTGTCCAAAGCTGTTGTTGGAGGAGATGCCAAAAGGATATGCTATCAGTACATGCTGTATAAGGTACCGGTATAAGTACACGTACATACTATATCTTTGACCGTGTCGAAATACCCAAGAGCAGACCTGAAAGTGTTGATACTCAAGATAGCGAGAAAGCGGATGGTACCGGAAGATGAAAAACTCCATGGGTTGGGGTTGCTGTCAGCGCATACTGATAGGAATGATTAAAAAGTCAGATGCATGGAAGCCATGCGGTTGTCATGCGAGGTTGGCTCTAGCTTTTCATGGTGCTGGCAACACTTCTTGATTCGAATAACCCGGTGCAGCAGGCATTGTTTTATTAAAAGGGATCTCTCTCAGAACAATTTCACTTTGGTGGTGTAGGTGTAGGAGGTAGGAGTTGCAACATCTGATATCAGGAATACAGGATACCGTACTCCAGCCTGTGGTGGAAGTTAACGACAACGTTTTGTTTGACAAATTAATGTATCGTTTTACGTCTATGGTACTGTACTAGTATGGTGCAATATTAGCAGTGCTGCAACCCGCCAGCGCTATTCTTGGTTAACCCCTTGACTTCCTTTGTCTTGCTCAAGCTGCCAGAGCAGTTGGCTGGTGCGTGCATGCCGCCTCTCTCGACCATAGCTCAGGTGCAATGAAAGCTTTCCTGGTAATGTCGCGTTCACGAGGGCCTTGACGGCGCTTGGGCTTTGTTGGGGGCATGCTCTTTCTTCGTCGCAAGGGAGTCTTGTTGTCATTGTCAGAAGGCTGTTCTGACCACCTCGATCCTGGTGGATTCCTGCGACGACGGGGAGGTGAAGGAGGGAGTGTACTGCACTTTGTCTTCATGCTCACTTGATCTTCCGATGGCAACCATCTGTTGTAGGCAAGCGCCCGAGGATTGTGGATTTTGCAGTCAGCAGCGGGACATGCGCTTGGTTTGCAGTGACCTTGATGATTGTCCTCTTTAATTGATACCTCCATTTCGGGTAGCACAAGGAGTGAAAGGAAGCTTTGCATAGCCATGGTACTGATAGGAGTTGTTCCGGAAATGCAAACTAGAAATTATGGTTGAAAACTTCCAGCACGGTCCCAACAAGCAAAGACTACAAGCTGGTAATGCCAAAGCTGGACGTCTGGAGTCTGGAGCCTGAGTGTGTGCGACTAGATTTTAGATAATATTTCTCTTCGGAGTTGTCACTTGACATGTTCCGTAGGATTCTTTGTCATTAGCTACGTCCTGTTAATTCTACTCTAGCTAGCGCAGAGTTCTCTTTGCTTACAAAAAGGGGCAGTTCGATGTAAAAAAAAAGGCTTGCACTCCCACACTCCTACCGGTACACTCTCCGTCATAACAATGTTTATCGGTACAGTCGCACCGACCGGTAGTGTGGCACAAGGTTGGATTTTAGCTACTAGCTAGTACTCTACTAGCTAGGACTCCTTTGCCTCATTCCACCGTTCACAGGGCAGGCTATGATCGCCACTCAATCTTTGGGTTTTTGACTTCTTGTGCCTACACTGTAGTAGCTAGCAGCCATTACTGTACCGTATGGCTGCTAACGAAAGCAATAAGCGTCAATTCTTCCCTGGCAGTTACGATGAGGTCCTCCAGTGATGACAATTGGCTGCAGCGTTCCACACAGAAACCATCTCAACGCAGTTCCGACTGGAGAAGAGAGGGATGCGAGACACTCCTTCGGTACTATTTTAAACTAGTACCATACATGATGTAGGCAACCTCTCACGTAGCTTCTCAGAACTGCCTCAGAAACAGCAATGCCTTGGCGTTCTTCGGCAAATCGTACTCCGAGAGTACCGGTACCGGTAGCACCTCAGCCGACCTCCCAGCCAAGACAGAAATGATTTGAGGTGAGGCAAACATCCAAGAAGCTTGATGGCAGTTTGATTTGACTGTACATGTTTGGATAACTTTTGGATAGGTATGGACAATGACTGACACAACAAGAAATGCGCAGGATGGTGAGAGGGAGACCTCGCTTGTACAAAACGGAAGCTTTGCTGCTGAGGTGAAGACTCCGATATTAGGCACCAGCTAGTGCAGTCGTGAAAGCATCTACTGCTCTGGTTAGCTATCAATGAACAGCGACTTGCTTGACTTCGTGGCATAGTACATCAATGTCCAGTGCAGTTGGTTTATGACAGAGAATGCCAGGACACCTGAAAGATTCTTATCATCAGAGAAGTCAGAGAAGAGAACCTTCCTCGCCTTGTGTCTTGTGTCAAATGATTGCGTTTCGTGGGCTGTTGACATGCCGTGTGTGGTACCGTTTGTAGCCAAGAAGGAAGTGAGCTTGTTTCTTTGAAGGCATGATCGACGTCGCAACATTGGCTGATTCGATTCGATTCGATTCGATTCGATTCCCTTGAAACCAAAGATGCCACTACTACATACCGGTACCTACCGTACCAGTACGCAGCCTTTGCGGTTTCCACTCCGTGACGGTCCGATGTGCTTTCTCAGCAATCCCAATACTAGCACTTGCTTCTGCAGTGCCGGTGCACTTCCAGAAATCAGAGAGGTGTCAGACTTGACTCAACTCGTCTGTTCTAACTTCTACAAACACTAGCAGTACTGTCCTTTGCGTCTTCGTCAAACTGTACACAGGCAGTGTAACTGATAAGCCACCAACCGGGCATTCGCCTGACCAGAACAACAAGTAGTCCTTGCGACCCCTTCGTTTGACTGAGTATAAATAGCGAGAGGTGGGCTGGTCTTTCGTCGACCTGAAGGCTCAGGAATGTGAACAAAGGGAATGTTTGCTACTTGGTGTTTTGCTTTCGTCGATCGAGTTTCGAATGGCAAGAGCAAAGGTGGAAAGATGGATGGGTGGATGGTGAACGCTCAATCTGAGCGGGCTTGGTTGCTCCGAGATAGAGCGTCCCAGCAACAGCAGGCTCCGAAGCCAAAGAACTCGCTGCTCCATTGCCATGCCAGATTGCGGTACGGTAGTTCGTTTGGGTCGCAGTACGAGTCGCCGAGTCCATTATCTTACGGCACAAGCATGCAAATTGAACGCGCCGACATGCACCGCATGGAAAGGAATCGAAAGCTACATGCAGAACCTGGCCTGTGGAAGCTCTCGTGTTTCAAGAGGAACACAAGATACGGTTCCAAAATCTCGTAATGCAACCTTCAATGGCCAGGTACTGTAACCATGGGGCCAGACATTGGAAGTGGAAAGCATTGTAAAAGAGGGAAAGTCCGGCTAGCTAGCCAGCCGGATGGACGTGGACTCAAGCCAATGGGTCAATGGGTCCTCTAACTTAATCCCTCCGGGGACTTCGTAATTCCTAAGTTAACAAGCCAATGGGTCCTCAATCGTGCCACAGAGATAAAATATACAGTGGTACTGGTACCAGTGTTGCAAGGAAAAGCTGAAACCTGGCGACTCTGCAACCTCGCCTTGTTAGGTTAGCTTTGCAGCTTAACGAGCTTCTAGGCAAGGAACCTGTACGTCTTCCAGTACAGTAGAACAAAGAACAAGAAAAGACAGCTTCAGTCGGTGTACAGCATGTCTTTGCATGATCAATGTTCCGTGCGAAAATGGCTGATACGCTGATACCGTAGCTGAGAACGGTAGTCTACCAATGCTAGCTAGTACATTCCTTGGGGGAATTCCTGCTCCTTGGAGGAGTCAAGGAATTCCTGCATTCCTGGAATATCTAGAATCTAGAGAGCTCAAAGGAATCCAAGGAATAAGGAGGGAGGAACTAAGGCTGATACCGTAGCTGAGAACGGTAGTCTACCAATGCTAGCTAGTACATGTACCGATACCACTACCAGGTACCTACCGGTACCGCATCGATCTGTTCACAGTGGATTTTTCGCTGGTTAAGCTCGGAGCTGCTCGGTGAGCTGCTCGGTGTGACTGGCAATTAGGCCTGTGCATCCCTCCTATTCCAGCGTTCTGAATCGATCATCATCGAGATTCCACTCGGCTCTAGTTTTTTACTTTTAGTTCTCCTTCAAAGTGGAGAAGGCCTTAAAAATTCAACAGTGGGAAATCGCGGCGGCACTGGCATGGCTACTGGTAGCTACTAGTAGCAGAGCTGCTACCGGTAGCAGCAAGTGGCTTTGGCAACGGACATCGTTCTGCCACTGGTCACTTCAGTGGCACGAACGAAAGTAGTGGAGGGCAGATCTCCGCAGATCCACTCTTGGGAAGTGTCGAAAGCTGCTGGGCAACCCCAACACAACGAACCATCCAGACCTCACCCATCCATCAGTTCATAAAAAACACTGACAATCAAACACAATACACCGAAAGTTTCACTTTATAGACAAATACAGCATGGCAGTCTCGAATACCCGCAAGCGCGTTCGCTTTACTAAAAAGGTTGTTGCCTATGAGGCTCCTGAGGAGGCTGGCGAAAAGGAGGACGTATGGTACAGCCCGCAAGAATTGTTCAACCAGAAGAAGGAAATATTCGTGGCAGTCCAATATAAAGACACAGAGAAAGCCGATCCCAACTACAACTGGCGTGGGTTGGAGCATTACCAGACTGGCACTCCAACATTTCACTTGGAAAAACGCCAAGATTTTGTATGCGAGTTCTTGTCGCTGCAGCACGATTTGCTGCAACGAGAAATAATGGAGCAAGACGATCCTCTGAGTCTGTTTGCCGCCAACAAGAGCAAGCATAATCGCAAGGAAGCAAACAAGAGGGCCAAGCAAGATGAAGCAGAAGCCAACAAGATTTATAAGTCAAGCAATCTCATCCATTGGAGACAAAACTCCAATGAAAAAGACACCATCTCCGCTAAAATGGCCTTCATGATGTCCATGGTCAAGGGATTCCGACCGGGCAATGTCTCCAAGTTTGCTCAGACTGCATAGTTATGTAGCTGCGCGGGTAACTGGGTTTTTCCAGCGCTTCTTGTCCTCTCTCAGATTTGCAACTAAACAAAGTAGTACTTACTTTTGACTTCCCATTGGTTTGAGTCGAGTCGAGCCACTCAGCTATTGCATGCCTGTAGTAGCTAGCTTCCAGTAAAAGAGATCACGGTGAATCTGTGTGGTTGCGCCGCCCTTACAGCAACCGATATGTAGAAACAGAAACAGCAATAGAACAATAGACCTCCATGTTCATTGTCTTTTTGTCTTCAGCATGCGACAGAGCGCAACGGTGCCTCTCGTGCTCCAGTGCTTTCTTGTACCGGTAGAGGCAGGAAGCCACGGTTTGATTGAGTAGGCGCTAGAGCTTGCTAGCTACCGTAAAATTGGCTGCAACGAAGAAACCGAATTGGTCTAGCACTGAAATCCAGCATCGTCTTGGATCTTCTTGGCGGATCCATGCGTGTCGCCAATCTTGAATTCCCACGCGTACATGAAGGACCTTGTGAGGGAGCAGCCAATGACCTTGCATGTATTAAATAGCGTATCCGAGCTGGCATCGGTAAGGAAGCGATAGTTGGCGTCTGCTCCGTCTCATCACTTCCAACATGGCGCTTGAAATGCAAAATCTGCTACGAGGATAGCTGCCTGGCTGCTCCAAGGCCTGAGATGGAGCCTTGTTTCTTTCCTGCTGCAGCGATCACCCCCGCAGCATGATTCAATCGGGGCTAACTGGAGAGGTTGGGTTGGCTGGAGCGGTGATGTGCATGTATATAATATTTATTTGTGGGTGGGTAAGCCAAGGAAGCTGAAATCGATGATGCAGAGGAAACATCAAAGCTTAGTGTAGCTCAGCAGGTTGCTTGTTGAAAGCACCTAGCTGGGGGGCGAGGTGACAGACAGCGCACGAACACTGGCAAACGAGACGAAACCTGTGAGATAGTCGCACCGATGCCGGTAGCCGAGTTGACGTTTACCTTGCGGCCGACAAGGAAAAACATGCGCACTTCAGTAGATGTAGACACCAGCCGCCCACCAGGCGCACAAGATCTCAGCTGGGGGTTCATCTGACATGAGCCAATGATTCAACGCAATGCTTTTGATGCAGACATTCTTGACTCTGGCTGAAACGGCATCACTATCCGCAACAAAATTCAATAGTCTCCGGTGGACGTTTGTCCTATCCGAAAGAAGCTTGTCACCTCCCACGCTCAGAAGTAGTCCTGTTCGGTATACCGCACGCAGTCAAGCTTGTGCAGCAGAGAGGCACAGGTTCCCTGCCTCAAGGCCAATGACACCTAATATTTTCAGCATTACGAGTACTGAATGCTAGAATGAGGATCAACTGGGAGCATGGACCGACAAGTTATCTAGCCTCTGTCAAAGGTGAGGTCACCCTTTCAAGATCGCAAGAAGAAGGAGTTGAGGCGAAGTCCCAATACCCAATACCCAAAATGGTACCGGTGGCGATTTGCTTGTTGCGTGAAGCCCTTACGAGGCAGGAGACAAGATGTTTGCAACAGCTGTTGGGACAAAGGGCCAGGAGGGGACGCGCTCTTGGCATCTCTTCGTAGACTACTGTCACATCAGGTCAGCACGCAGCAAGATCCAGAGATCTCATGGTGCTGTACCGGTGGTCGGTACCGTAGCCGGGTTCTATTCGTAAAAAGTGGATGGAAATCTTGGGAGACTTTCAAGGGCACAACCTTTAATTAAACATGTCGTGGAGTGAGGAAAAGTTACACCCACAAAAGCTATGATGTACTAGTACAGTCAGCTCGCAGTCAATCATTCCAAATTTTATTAATTGTGCTTGATCATTCCACTGGAACTCGTGCCAAGTGCCAAACATCGCTACCGTTACAATACTTATCTCTGCACCCTTACGAGAGCTCCGCATCCGTTAAGCATGGTGGCGTCTTGTTCTTCTGTTTGTACCAAGGTCTAGAAAATATCCTTTAAATCTCTTAAACAATCATTAAATCTACTGGAGCATACAATATTTAGTATCGTATCCCGCCAACAGGCCCATCCAACATCTCCATGCACGATCGATAGCTTCTCCTTTGTTCAAGCGTTCAAGCAAGCATCCGAACAAGGCGCTCTGCAGATCTACAGAAGAGGTCTCGGCCACTGGCAAAACACTCCACAACATACCAGCAACAATGCGAGATGCCACTCCCCTTATCAAACGTAGTTCGGCCGAGCAAGAGTCAACCTTCCTGGCATCTCACTTTTTCCCTCGCAACCGATCCAAACAGTGGAACCAAGAGGAACCAAGAGGTGAGATCCAGAGATCCACGCAGAACTGCCATCAGCTCACAAATCCAACAGAATCACATTCCAGACACAACACAACAACAACAAGATGACCTACAAGTCTACTGCATCCAACGCTACCAGAGCTGCATCTCCCACAAGGCAGGTGTGGTTTAGCCGAACCGACGTGATCATTACTTGCAGTTACCCTGACGATCGTGACACCAGTACCCCCACCACCACTGTCACCTATGCCCAACAGAAGCATGAAGAAAGTGGAGTTTCCAGAAAGCAAGATCCCATGGCGGCTGCCATGCGTCGTGCTCGCAGGAGCAGAAATGGTTCCATCCTGCGAGAAGCTGTATCGTACGTCCGAGAAATCGTCGCCGTGCAACACAAGATCCGAAGAAAGTACCGTCCAGAAGAAGCCACTGTTGTTTTGGGTCGGTATGCCACTCTCAAAACCAAACTGAATCGCATCGAAGCATGGGAAAAGGCTCGAGGTACTACTCATGATGCCATGAAAATTCATCAGGAGGCTTCAGTGGAGTCACGCAATGCAAAAAGGCGCCGATGCTGTGACACCAACGAGAAAAGATCGCTCGTCAAGTTGCTATTCCGAGGGTTTCCTACTGGTGCCCAAAAAAGCAAGGCATCCTTCTTTGCAGCAGCACCGCCAGCCCGACAAATATCGGCTTATTAGAAAAAACATGGAGTTGAAAAGCGGTGCGTGGCACTCCCGAAGGCGCAGTCAGTTGTACCAGATACAACTACTGGTAACTGTGCAAAATCAAAAGAATACCGGGAGTGTTACTGTACCAAAGTTTTTTCCAACCCTTTTTCATATTGTAATAATAATGTAACAACCAGAGGCAAACATATTGTCAAGTTATACTTGTGTTTGATACCGACGCATTGAAAGGTATGGGTAATGAAAATTTCAAGTTGCCCCAGTGGCTGCTTTGACTGCTGCATCGTGTCAAGGGAGGTGTAAAACCCAGGGTGCACTATGGGTAGCAATGTCATAGAGTGTAAACTGGTGATGCTAGAGCATGATCAAGTTGTCGCAGAAGCAATGATTTTCTATTGAGTTTAATGTACTTTTGAAATTGATTTTGAACAAAGTGAAGCTCGCCCGGCGATTCCAGTGCCGGTTGAGCAGTTTCTTTCCGAATTGGGACTGGAAAGGCAAACCGTTTCTAAGTCACAGTCAGTCACATTTCAGAAAATAAAGAAAAAGACAATCGCTGAAGCCCTCTTTGACCACTGTAAAGAGATGCTTTCCGTCACAAGCAATCCACCATAAAACCAGTAAGACACCAACCTGCCGAGTCGCTCCCAGAAGCACGATGCCGTGATCCTCTCACCAACCTGCAGAGTCACTCGCGCGATACATGTACGTGTAAAAAAGGGAGACTTCAGAGCAAGATCCCGACACGACAGTTTCCACACGTCATCTGTTCCACAAGGCAAGCTTTGCAGGCAGATGCCGGTGCAACTGTCGTGGCGCGATGCCTGGCTGAAGATCTCCGGTGAGCCACCAGCCAATCCTTTGAAGCTGTACCACAGCTGCCGGCAAATGACCTCACTTTTTGGAGTAAAATGTAAAAATGCAAACACTGTAAAGCAAGAGTTAGAAATCTGTACAGGCAAGCAAGTAGTTCAAAACAGTGCCACAGACTCACCAAAAGGCCAAGCAAAATAGCTTGACAAAAACACCACAACAATTCCCACTGTTGCATCCCCTGCAACAGTCAATACTTGCACTCAATCTCCACCTTGGAATCCAAAAATGGCAACAGTTAGAAAGGAGACCAAAAGAAAAGAGGCAACATCAGCACAAGAACTCACCTTGCAAGATCTCTTCTCCGTTCGCATCAAAGACAACCTCGTCCTCGTCAAACTCCTGATCCTCCAGCTGGTTGTTCTCGTTCCACAGGAGGCCCAAGGGATTCTCCTCGTCAAGTGCCGCCTGAGCCTCGGCACTCGTCAAATCAATCTCTGGCTGTCCCCTTCCACGCAAAACAGACTCCGCATCGTCATGCCACCACACATCTCTCATGCGCTTGATCTGCTTTTCGATATCACGGTAACGAGGTCCTCCGCGACGATCCACCTTCTTTCCGTCAGCCGCCAAAGCAGCCCGTGCACTCTGTCCACGCGAACCAGTCCGGTCGCCCAATCGATGCACAATTGCTCCCTCGTTTCGATAGATCTCCTTGAGAGCATGGGCGAACTTGAGGATGTCTGTGCAGATCTGTTTGCTGGTTGGCGCCCCATCAATACATCGCATGTAAGCCTCTTGTCCCCGCTTTGGCGTGCAGATAGTAAACTTGCGAGAATCATCATCAGGCAAATGACTCGTCATGATAATGTGACGGTTGACACAGTCGTTCAAATACTTATTGCAGCTTGTGTCCCACGGCATCATCTCGGGACTGTTGCCACTAGGGAAAGCGTCACGCCATTCTCCAGTCACAGACATCTCGTAAACAGGCAGAAGCCAGTGATCGTAGTAGCCATGCTCTTTCATCCAAGCGACACACTCCTTGTTCGTCATCTGGGACAAAGCGTCATGATAAAAGTACCAACGACTGGATGGAAGGTCTGGATAAAACTCTTCAAAGTGGGCTTGGGTTTGTTCGTAGATGTGCTTGACAAGTTCCGTGACACACACAGTACTTGAGACTCCCTTGGCTTTCTGGATGAAATGCCGCCACTCATCACCGTAACGAGCCAGGTACGGATTCTTTTCCTTGCGAAAATCGATGTCGTCAGGAATTTCCTCAATGCCCTGTCGACATTCTTCACGCCATCCTTTGAGTCTCTTGGCGCTTTCTCCAACTTTTGCCATCTTCTTGCCGTGATCATTGACACCATTTGACATTCGAGTAATGTCACTGTCGGAGGCCTCGGCAAAATCACGGACGGTGTGGATCTCAAATACTTTGAGCTTCCCAAGGATTGTCTTGGCGCATCCCTTGATCATGCCTTGACAAAGATAGTCGTCCATGTAGAGCTTGTCATTCTCACGAGCCGATTCGAACCAACCATTGGACTTGGCTGGACGGTCACCCAACTTCTTGACACGAGCAATCTCCTCCTTGACAAGTTTGCGGTACTGCTTCAAGGAGACGAGAAGCTTGGTAGTGTAATCGAAAGGTTTCAAGACGTATCCTTCCTTGCCACCATTGTCGTCGACGACCATTGCCATTCCGAAACTCCAACGACCTTCCTTCTCAAACTTGACATTCAGTTTGTGAGCAGGCGACGCTTGATCGTAAGTCCCATTCGGATCCAAGTTGCCATTCGCATCGCGTAGAAACTGCAGCTGATAATCACGATCGACTTGTGCGTGGCTGGTTCCGATGATGCATTTCCGATGCATCTCATCCCAAAAAGCGACATGTTGCAGACCAAAACGATAAGTAAACAGCGCTTGAGGATCAAAGCAAACTGGCAGCGTCCCATCCTCCTCGTATAACTTGAGCTCCTCTTCGTCCAAAAGAGTCTCGGGCACCTCCAGGACGGAAGGTGGAAGCTCGAACAGGTCATGAGGCTCCGTCTCCTTCTCCGCGCCGAGTCGAAGTAGCAACTGATAAACCCAGGCAAAGCGGCGTCGAGCCCATGGAGAATTCTTGTCGTGGTTCCCTTGCTTCATCTTCCGAATGGGAACTTTCCGGCTTGGGAGACGCTGGACCAATTCACGGACAGCGGAATCAGAGTAAGGCTCCAAACCTTCATCAATTCGACATTCGTTGAGTGTGTCGGTTGCAATTCGGAGAATGTCTCCTCGTGACTCAATCAAAGTAGCGAGAGTCTCAGCATCTATGGAGCCATCAGGAATCTTGACCGGCTTGAACCGTGAATAGAATCGCTGACCAACATACTCAAGGTCGTTCTTGGCACAGTAATTGATGTCTCCGAAGATATTCTTGATTGGCTTCCGCGTCTTCATCCCAAGAGCGTCCTTGATTGCCAATCCAGTACTCCCCTTTCCAGTCCAATCCGAAGGGAAGTTGTGCACCCGGCAATAGAGGTGGTAAGTTGCAATGCGCTCTGAACGGTCATGGTGAAGAAAGGATTGCTGACTCAGGAAAGATTCCATCTCTTCAGGAGTGAGACGAAGGTCTGCTGATGTATCATCTTCGTCGGAAGGAGGCTCATCATCCGAAGGGGGACCCAAGATTTCATTCAATCGTTCATCATCCGGTTGCTCCGTGGGTGTTGGCTTGCGAGCAGCAGAGCGAAGGGAGGCAACGGGAGGAGGCAGTACACCATCAATATCTTCATTGTGGAAGGGACCAGTGTTGACATGAGGAGAGACTGCATGGGGAGTTTGCAAGGCGGCTTGCTGTAGCTGCTGCTGTTGTCGGGCCCACACAACCCTTTCATCCTTGGATCGGTGCTTCTTGCTCTTGGTTCTGTGGAAGCCTTTGCCGCCCTTGCGCTTGGCCATGGTGGAAGATTGAGCGTCGGACGGAAGCTTGACGAAGGAATCCGAAGGAAACTTGACGAAAGAATACGACGGAAGCTTGACCGAGCGTGGATCGGAAGGATCGGAAGGGTCCTTGTAAGATGACGGAGCGACCACACAGCAAGAAGCAGCAGCGACGGCACAGCAGAAAAGTAGCGGTAGAAGAATCCCAATGACTGAACGGCAGATGGCCATGGTCGGCTGATGCTTGACCGAATTTATGAGACGAGACGAGAGCAAGGATTTTGGATCAGCAGATCGTCATGGTGGTCAGCTCCCACTTCGACCCGAAGAAAGATAATGAAGAGTCATTTCGTTGCAGCGAAAAGTGTCGATAGTCAAAATTTATGAGATGCCATCTGAATAATGAAGAATGAAGCCTCCGATCGATGCGATCTTCTTCCATTGGGACGCCACCTGTTGCTCCTCTCTCACTGAATCTTGCGTCAACCAACATGCTTCCAAATATCGATCCCATCCGATAAAGAGGCAATGCATCATTGTGGAAACTTCATTCGGAAGCTGAAATATCGATCGTATCTGTTGTGAGAGGAGTGACGGAACGATTGGAGTCATCAACATGGTCGCTGACACTGATAAACATGGTCTGAAAAGAGATGCACTTGGTGGGATGCGATTTACTTTGGATGCAACGGCTAAATCCAAAACTCGAAAGACTTTCTGTGACTGGAGAGCCGGCCATCTAGTTTAAAACTAAGCCTCACATTTTGACCTCACATTTTGGGATTTCAATGGAAAATAGTCACGTCCTACTTGGGGAGTGCATGTTCTCAATGGGAACATGGTAAAATGACCAAACAAATGTTACAGCCACATGCAGAACAACAAGGGGCAACAGGCCGTAGCATTTGTTTTTGTGTTTTTCCATCATCTCGTTGAGTTATTCCACTCCCCAACTACAATACCAGAGTTTTTCAATGCGTCGGTAGGATACCTGGTACAGTCAGTTCTTGACTATATTTATATGGGGGTAATACGGATTCCTATAAATATACTAGAGAATATAAATATAGGCTCTATTTACTAGTAAAGTACGCGTGGAGAGTGCCGTCAC